GGATATAAATCCTATATTATCTTGGGTCTCTACACGTGTATAGTGATCTTCATTCTTATTAAATTGACATACATTATAAAGGGTTATATATAACATACAGTGTATATAGTAATATGTTTAAACACAAAGGGCATGTCATACAACAATAACATATATTACAGATAAGTCATAATGATAATTTCATATAAAATATTATGTATGATAGAATAATTTTATACTGAATGTTCATACCAAATAATGAATGTTATAATGTTTTAAATATATATATATATAATGCATGTAGAACATTTATAACCAGTAACACCATGAGCAAAACATGATATTAAAGAGATATTTTGGTCACTGATTAGATGCACACACGTGCATCAATAGATTCATATTATATCACTTACAGAGTGCTTTTTTATATATTTATATATAGATTTCATTATAAACAAAGATAAATGCATAATTGCTGAAGTATGTGTTGTATACTTCAGCACACACATTGAAATTACAGTAATACTAATACACAAAATATAGTAAATATACATGTACTTGTGTTTTTTGTATAGCGTATCTTCATTTGTCAAAATACAAGTTCCATGTCATCAGCATATACATGTAGCCTACTCAGAATAGTAATATTCATCAAATTCATAAAACAAAGACTGATATTTAGTCAAACATAATACTGAATATAAGGTCACATAATTATTTAACTTGGGAAAGAGAGTCAAATCGGTTGCCTGAAGTGAATGAGGCTGTAGTATCAGGCTTAGGTTTGGGTTTGTTGGATGTACGTTGACCGTGTTGAGAGGCTAGAGTTCTGATACGGGTTGTGGGATCGTGTCGGTGTTCTTGTTGAGGAGGGTCGGGGTAGGAATCTAACTCGCTAAGGTGGGTGACTTGGGCTTTGGTTCCACTACTATGCCTGATTACAATTCTCCCGTCGTTGGTCCATGTTCCAGATATGGCTCCTGTTGATTTTAAATAACGGGCTTTAGAAAATACCATCGCTCTCTGCTTCGTTAGGGCCTCGTTGACAAATAATTTGTATGCACGTTGATTGGAGGGGGAGGATCCATTACTCTTGTCAGAATCTTTGGCAAAAAGTGAGAATCTGGCAGCGTACACGGAAGCACGTACACGGTACGAGATAAATCGGACAATGATGTCACGAGGGAATTTACCAGACTTGGGACCCACTCTGTGGGATCGGCTAACCGCATGAATTAATCCAACATTTCACAGTCCCATGTTAATATGAAGTACAAAATGGGGAAAGTACTGAAAAGGTTAAAACCGTTTGATATAACGACAGTAAGAATCGGGCACATGTACACGTTTATACATTTATCATAGTGCAATGATCATTTACTAAGTTTCCACAATTAAAACAAGTCGATATATTTAATCAGTCTATCCTTGTTTGTCCTATTACCGTTCTCATGCTCAAACATATATTTAGGATTGAGCACAAAATGCATGCTTGATCATGAGAACGGTTTCATGAATACGGGACCATAAAGTGCTCATTAAATGAGAAATTGAACAATTCATTTCAGGAAAAAGATAATTCAGATAAGGCACTTTTGGGTTGATTATAACACACAGGTAACCTATCATGAATGCCTTTCGTCCCTTGCACATCAACATTTTCCCACTTTTTCTGTGAAATTTTGAAGAAAATGTATTGCAATCTCAGTCTGTGATAGGTATCAGAACCTATATCTCAGAAAGGGCCGACACTCAATGGAGCATGGAGGCAGGGCAATAAGTGATCACAGAAACCTTCAAATGACGATGTTAGTTGCTTCATCTACTATATAGAAGGGACACTACTCCAAGTCTGGGTAGAATGTTCTTCACAAAACCTTCAAGTGACATTCCTTAAATAACTGATGGATTTTTACTGACAGGTGGTGGACGTCAAGACAAGGCCATACGTGGTCAGAAAGTGCTAAACCTTCAAATGACATTTCTTAATTTACTAGTGAGCGCTACTTTTCGCCAAGTCAAGTGAAGTACATGCTGAACTGGTAATCATGAAATGTACACTATACAATGTAGCAGCAGTGCAGCTGATCTACCATTCCTTACACAAGTTCATAAAGGGAAACAATCTGACAGTGATAAGTATGCAACTACAAGTGATGTTCAATAATACTGAAAAATCTAAGAGACCACACTTAACAGGACAACATATCTACTATTGAGGAAAAAGGAAAAGACACGGAACAGCTCTATTTATGTACCATTAAAAAGTTATTTCATTTAAGCAAGGACAATTTTTTGAACTAGCGACCAATTACAATTACTTTCTTGTCATGCTGTAAAAAAATCCCATTTTAATATTTCATGAAAACCCCCACATGGTATATATCAATGATTTACCCTGGTAAAATACTAACTCGGCTAGGGAGAATTTCTCTTTAGATCATTCGGTAGAACGTAAGACTAGTAAACTAGATGCCCCGGGTTCGACTCCTAGCACCGGCATTGTAAAATAATGACATCTGTTACATTTGCGTCCATATAGGGACTCGGGAGATATGTCAAAACTATTGGCGATACTTGCAAAGGAATCGATATGACCTCTAGAAAACTCGGAGCGAGTTCTTTCCAGGAGGGGGAGTATGTCTCCCTGTTAAAATACTAGCCGCTTCCTACCAACTCGGCTAAGCAAAGTTTCTCTGTAGCTCATTCGATAGAGCGTAAAACTAGTAAACCAGAGGTCCCGGGTTCCCCTAAATATGTACAGGAACAAGCAAATTTGTGGAATTCATATCCTCGCTTTAAGGACATGTTTTAGCAAAATTTTATTGTTGAGAGTTACTTGAAACATGTTATGCTAATATGGGGAATTAAGAGCAGATAAAATAGAAAATGTTTCTTAGAAATAGGCCTTCAGTTTGTTTTTTGATATATAAGAATCAATAACAGGAGAGATGTTTCTGGTCTCTGAAAACATTATTTTCATTTCGAAATGGAGCTGTCACTAGAGTGGTCTCTCTTTGGTCATATTCCTAATCATTAAAAACAATCATATCCTCAGTGACATAAAATGTTGGATACGTTAAAGATGAGATAAATTACAATATTTCGCTGTCACAGACTACAAGATAAGGTAACACTTAATTGTTAGGGTTTTTACATACTTTTACTAATCATTAGTTAACTAATTAATGAATTGTTATTTCTGTGTAAATTTCCACAGATCACATTGACAAGCGAATGGAGCCTGAAACATAGTATTATGTATGTGGACACCAACTTTTGTTGAAATCAGACCATTATTAGCATAGTTCTTGCAGTTATTGAAACTGAAACGTAACATACTCTGTCTATACCTATTACCTGTCTACAGTTATCAGTGTCTATAACTGTTACCTGTCTACAGCTACCATTGTATATAACTATTACCTGTCTACAGCTAACACTGTATATCACTATTACATGTCTACAGTATAACTATAACCTGTCTACAGCTACCACTGTATATAACAATTACCTGTCTACAGCTACCATTGTATATAACTATAACCTGTCTATAGCTACCATTATATATAACTATAACCTGTCTACAGCTACCACTGTTTATAATTATTACCTGTCTACAGCTACCACTGTATATAACTATTACCTGTCTACAGCTACCACTGTCTATGACTATTACATGTCTACAGCTACCACTGTCTATAACTATTACCTGTCTACAGCTACCACTGTCTATAACTATTAACTGTCTACAGCTACCACTGTATATCACTATTACCAGTCTACCTTTGCTATGTATGATAACAGAAATTTATTTCATTTTAGTTAACCAAGACGTATAACTTTGTGTTAAACAGAGCCGTGTCGGTATGTACTTGAAAAGAATCGAGTGTCCACGTTTGTTAAAGTAAGAGCGTTACATACATGTATGTACAATTAGTAAAACTTGTAGATAACAATGCTACATTCATTGCAATCATCCTCTCTTTAGAACTGTCATTCACGTTTTCGTATTCGACGGATGGAAACTTTTGACCCAATTTTCTGGTGGTTTTTTTAAAATTATTTCTCAAGAAAGGATTGTTAAGCTGATCGGTATTTTGAAAAATAGCTGTTTTTAGGCGTTTCCTGGTTTCAGGAGTAGACGTTTATTATGTTTTGCTAGATATGATAATGAAAATATATAGAAGGTACCAAACATAAATATTTTTTTAACAGAACCGCTTAAAATAGGACGTGTTCGCAATAAGACTTCAACATCCATTCCAGACAACGCTCTAACGATAGTGGCCGGGATCGACTGTCATTATTAGAATGAGGACGGTATGTTTCTAAAACAATAACCCTTACGACTTTCATGAATCAGCAGAGACGTATAAAGAAATAAAATATATCTCTTAACTAGTTATATGGAAAAGGTAAAAGGGATAACGGTCTCCTACATTCATTTATAAATGTTTGTTATACTTTATTGGCGACTTATTAACATTGATGTGTTAGCATATGAACATAGACACTTCATGAATACCTGGTATCTCGTACTTTGTGCGCATTTTCATCAATATCAATAAAATACATTCCTTTGGAAAAGGATACACATATCAAGGCACTTTCCTTTGAAAATGGTTCAAATCTTGCATAAATTCAAGTATATAAACATATTTATCAATATCTATTGATATCGATTGGTACCATTTATAAAGATACAGTTGTATGCACAATGTATTGAATTATCTGCGACATTTATAAAGATTCTTAATGAACATTCAATCCAAATATCTGGTTAAAATATTATCTGAGGCAATCTTCTGAAATGTATAACAGAAAGGTTGATCACATATGTACACCTGAGAAGTGATTGGCGTCACAGAGTATGCATCTGTATGTGGTATCTAGCTCAAATTCGACAAAAACATACCTCTAGGGGTTGCCGTTGCTGACAACATTTCAAGGACAAATACGTAATGACATCCAGACATGTTTGAACGCAAACAGCGAGATGCTAACGGCTACGACAGAATACATGCATCGCCATATTCGCCACCAAGCCTACAACTGTACGTGGGACCGAGATGACGTAATGCACACAGACCCACCACCGTTTCCCCTTTGATAGTTACAGAAGCGTTGATCGGCCTTCTCCGCGTCGGACTAGGAAGGTAGGTTCAATTCAAAATATGTGATTTTGAAATGTATATTTGTAAACAGTAATGAAAACATTATTTGGATGATATTTAAGTTCAATTTAATGGTTATGTCATGTCCCAATGTCATCACCTATTATTCATCATTCTATAAATGAAGACAACTTTGGTTGAAATTTAAGAAAAAGGCAAAACCAAAACACCGGGCACATACTAGTACTAGTACTGTTTATGATATTGATGAGTTACCATTTCTTATCTTGTCGACAAACACAACAGTCTTTCTTGTTTCCTAGTTTTTAAAATAGTATATTTGTCTTCATTAATGTATGTATATAGTGGCATATGTACACTGTAACCCCTATACAAATTAAATCGAAAAACATCATGATCTTAAAAGCCGTTCGAAAGGAAAAACTTAAACTTTACAGTATTAAATAAATTAAAAAAAACGTAAAAAATGTTCAGCTGTCTGAAACGAAATGTAATTGGATGCATTAGGCCTAACATGCTTTTGAAATATATTTAAAACTATGTTTACATGTAAAATAAGTATTTACAAGGTGTGTGCTTTTCTTTTGATATCATACTATGTAATAATATAAATAAAACCAACGCATTTATGGTGTAAGAATGCTGCCATGTATCGTCAGCTGGTGATAACTATGCCAATTCATATCCTCACTGCAATTCGAATAATCTCAACTGTAGACATCTGGATGTTCTAGTATCATATTGTTACCAGTTTGTAACTTCTGTTTGTTGTATATTGACGTACCGTTTTTGACCAGGATGTGGGTACCACGCCTCGTCCTTGGACTGTTGGTGTTTTATAACATCGGGAGAATCAGTGGTATAAAAAAACAACCATCGATCGGCTTACCTAATCTCAATAGATATCGCATGTCAAGTCCCTGTAAGTACATATGGATCTTCATTTAAATACAATCTTGCCAATATTCAAAGTTGATAGTTATGCTTAAATATGACGTGCCATGACTTGATTTGACCATTTGTCATAGATTTACTTGACGGGCTAACCCTTCCGAAGTACCTGCTCTTATTTTCATGTAATTTCATGAGGTGAAAGTATTAAATATTTCAAAACATGAATTGTTTTTCATAATGTCTATGTGATTGTATTTTATAGCTAAAATATGAAAAAAGGTCGTCAAACTTGAAAAAGAATCCTCTTTTAAGATTTGTCAATTTTGTTTCGAAACCGGCAATTTTGTATAAAATGGTATTAGGCACAAACTACCGAAAGATTAGAACCTAAATGAATCACATTCGGATGAAATATCTAGACATATTTGACATGATGTGTAGGTAACCCATACGTATAGTTAATCCTAGAAGAGGAAGAGAAAGGGAAATTAAGATGATAATAGTGATATTTTGATCACATATACAAATGTTTCAAAAACATAATGTAATTTTAAAATTTCAAGCTTTTGGTTCTTAATATTATGCATACAAGTACACACATATAAACTATGTAAAAGTTAGTTATCATATACATCCCCGTATACGTAGTCGCACAGAAGTTCACATTTCTCATTATTTAATAGAAAAAATGAGATTTAAGTGCAAATGTCTGCAACATCAATAAAGTAAAATATAACATTATTAATACCTCTACTCTTAATAATTATAATTCCTTTTAAGTGGTTAAATTTTGTTTCAACATGAATCGAAAATTCTATATTCCCAACAAATGAACCTTTAATTAGTGTATAATATGCTATCAGAAAAGTTTCGTCTTTACCATTTCCCGGGAAGAGTGTAAGTAGAAGTTTAACCTTTTCATAATGAATGGGGTATAAATACGGTGGTACATTTAGGACATGCGCAATTTTATTTTCAACATTAAGTATCTCGAGCACTCGACATAACTTCTCGAGCGCTCAACATATTATATCGAGCGCTCGACTTATTATTTCGGGCGCTTTACTTAGACATTTGGTATGAATCGCTTCATAATAGCATTTGTATTATAACCGTGATAGTAGATTTTCTGTCAAGTTAAGATTTGTGTGTGGCTTTCGAACGTCTTATTATGACGTCGCTGTACTATGACGTCAGCATTTTATGCAAAGACCTTATTATGTTTCTTCAAGACCTCAAGCTAAATTGCAATTATTTCATTTAAACACACATTTGCATTACATATGAAAATGATATAACCCTCATATAGATTTTTAGAATATCAATATTTGAAGTTTAAAGTAGTTTCGGAATGTATTATGCACCTGTTTGCACTGTTCTTATTTGTGCTAACAATTCTAACTTGTTATGTACAATGTAGAGCGCTCGACATGATAAGTCGAGCGCTGGACATAATAAGTCGAGCGCCCGAGATAATAAATGAAGAAAATAATATTGTGCATGTCCTAAATGTACCACCGTATATAAACGTTATTTTTATATCATGATACTGCAATTTTTCATTGATTTGTATCACATTTTTTTTTTAATTTCATGGAAAATTCATTTGCTTTCCGGTTTAGATCCATTACTTTGTGAACTGATAATTAACGTAATCATATCGATATGCTTCTCCAGTCCCATATTTCAGAAACCGTTTTTGACCTCGACAAAATATTTCATACCTGGGCCTTGTCATTTTTAAAGTTTCATTTTACTAAAAAAAAGATATACTTTGAGAAAAATATCATCTTCCATATTTCAAATGGGGGGAGAAAAGGTATAAAGGAGAATATTTTTACTATAATAATGATACTCGTTTGTTATTTATTCTGAGTGAAATTTTACTACATATCTAATATGCTTTGATAAGAATCTCATTTACATATTCCCTATTGGGTGTTAGATGTCTGCTTACTTTCCTTTAAATCGTGTGTTCTTTATTACTTAAAAAAGTAGACTCATTTGCTTCTAGATGATTCATATCTCAATTTATTTTTTAGTATGTTTTTATTATATAAAGAAATAGTGCAAATAGGGATTCCGCCTCCCCGTTTATAGCACACGACAGAAACAGATGATGCTTAGTCGTAAATTTTCCAATTTCCATTAATGATATCGATTTGACACTAAAAATATACAGTGTGGAACGAAGGGTGTAAGATTCTGATATGAATGATGACGAACAGTGGCTAAATTACCAACTGTTCAGGATCATTACAGTCAGAATGTAGAAAACGTTTCCAACATTGATCACATATTTAGTGTAATATCGAACGCCCCCTAACCTAGAAACTTAAAAAAGTTTAGAAAACGTCCTCGAACTTGATAACTTTGGTAACTTATTAGAATGTATCCCTAATTATTTCAGGTTTACCAGATTTTATGCGTTCGGTATTTATGTTTTATATTGATTTTTATAATTTAACAATTTTTACAAAATTGATTTTGCAATGAATTCATGCTTGTAATAAATGTCAATGTTTCTTAAAGCTTTCCTGGGTACTTTACTTGGCTTTGTGGTTGGATACACAACTAATCGTGTCCTCGTTCCAAGCTCTGGAGAACCTATAGGTATGTTATTGAGAACGAAAATCTTCAATACGAAAAGGTTTAAAAATTACTAATCTACTTTATCATCGTTTTGTTTAACATTTAAAACTGGATATCACCTCATTGTATTAAACCATTCTTCAAAACAAGCATTTAAATAAACTATATTACCTACTAGATCCAACGCTAAATAATATATTTAAATGAAAATAGAACAATCTGCAAAACGCGCACTTTAATAAACAAGACTAGATTCTGTTCTGTATTTGCTTTATGATATTTAAAAATATGTAATTTAAACCCATGTTTATAAAATAGAAACATTGGTCACAGTGTTAGGATTGGGATGAGAACAATAAGTAAATACCACAGCGTCAGCGCCAATATCCATAGACAAAAATATCACCACAGCGTCAGCGCCAATGCACATGGACAAAAAAGTATACCACAGCGTCATCGCCAATATACATGGACAAAACATTACACTACAGTGTCAGCGCCAATATACAGGGACAACAAAATAACACTACATCGTCAACGATAATAAACATTGACAACAAAATAATACCACAGTGTCGTTGCTAACATACATGGACAACAAAATAATACCAAAGCGTCATCGCTTATACATATGGACAACAAAAGAATACTACAGCGTCATTGTCTATATCCATCGACAACAAAATAAGACTACAGTGTCATCTCTAACATACATGGACAACAACATAATACCACAGTGTCATAGCTAACATACATGGACAACAAAATAAAACAACAGCGTCAGCGCCAATATACATAAACTAAAACGAATACCACAGCTTCAGCGTTAATATACATTGACAACAAAATAACACTACAGCGTTAGCACCAATATGCAAATACCATTATACCGCAGTGGCGGCGTTAATATACAACAAAATACTACTACAAGTCAGCACACAATGGCCAAAAGGACCATAGATCAAATATATGAGAACAAGAAGTACAGCGTCAGCAAACAGTGACAAAATTACATACATTTGATACAAGTTGATGAAATCGAAAAACTTAGTCTAAACTCGAAGACAAAGGCATATGAAAAGACAGAAAAGAAACACCGTGAAACAAAATCAAAACACCGGAAGTGAAACAAAGTACTCCTAAAGGGTTCCTGTATCTGGCACCTTTAGTGGTACCCTTAATAGTGTCTAACTCGAAGTGAGCCAACTTATATTTTTCAATAGTAGTCGTAGGCTAATGGTATGACGTCGACAATGGTGGGTTATATAGGCTCCGATTCATATAATTTTTCACCATGGTAGATACTAACGTAGCATAACTGAAAATCAAATCATGGTGACAAATGTTAAAATTCTACATAAATTTAATATCATGAATGTCAGTTTTATATATTTATAAAGCTCGACTTCTGATTTCCCTTCTGAACGATATTTTTTTAATTAAATAATAGTAATAATAATCATAAAACACATCTATTGAGATAACACAATAGACATAGCGTTTCGTCTCGTACTGTTCAGTGTTAGTTTACCGTATGTGATTTTATATTGTGAGTATTGAAATAGTTAATACATTTTCAAATCTGATCACGATAAATAATTGTCATAAAATATTAAATTGTTAGATTTATAAAAATATAATTTTGTTTACTGTTGATTTTGATTTTATTACAGAAAGGTGCCCTGAGGGATGGTTTAAGCGGCTTAACCGATGTTATTTCTTTAGTGAGCTGAAGGCTAGTTGGTATGGTGCGGAGGTGAGTACTAATTAAATGTGTGTAGCTGTTAATTGCTTTCAGTAAACTTCCATAAAATTAATTAAACTTTGAATATAACTGGTTCTTTCTTTTAAAAACAAAAAGTGAAAGACTATACATTACTGGTTCTGCTACAACTGACAAAAACAACAGGCTTTAAAACAAGTTATTCACAACATCAAAACACGGTACTGTAGCCCAAATCTGGCGCCAACGACTGTGACAGATGAAATACTGTCGAATGCAATTTAGATTATTTTTTTATATTTAGACATAAAAAGGATTCAAGAAGTTTTATGAAAAGACAACAAAAATCAATGAGCTTAAACAATATTTCACTAAAAAATAGTTCTCCGTTAAATAATTAGTGAGGGCCTCATTATTTCTGAACCAATTTTCCTATCAGAAGGGGTACCGTTGAGATTTTCATTTCAACATATCTTATCTTCAAAGAAGAATGTTATACTGTCAAAAAGATTGGACAACATGCTTATAGCCTATACAAGTCCTCTCCATTGATGGTAGATATATGGACATAATGGATTGATATTAAAACTATAAAGATTTTGCTTACAAAAATTCATCATTGGAAACGGGTAACATATTTGGCGTTAGAACCTTTTTTCTAGACAATATGTCACTACAAAAATAAATGTACAGTACTGTTCATTTCAAAGACCTCATGCATCTGATGTAAAATAATATGATATATACATAACTATTTAGTAACGGATACAATATGAATATGTACAATAGGCCCGATGATTAAATCTTTGGTACATATAAAATTTAATCAACGTACATTTTATTTTGTAGTATTATATTTGTGTATCCATTATGCTTGGTAATTAGTGTCTGCACATTTTGGTATAGAGAAAAATTGCAGGTATATAAGGTCCATAGAAAGTTATATATAATGATATGATCACAAAATAAATTGCTTAAAATTGGGATTATATTTCTTATAGATATTGTCTATTAGTAAGTACAAAATATGGTGTGGGTGGGGGAAGGGGGATAACTCCCATAAAATAGTGTATTAATTAAATTTAGTCTGCAATATACAATGTAGGTAATATATATACATATATATTGGTTATGGAACGCATATAGTATACAAGCTATAATATCAGATTGAAGACCGTACAGTCCTTGTGTTACGTTTAGGTCTTCAACTGAACACGGTACATGATCCAAAGTTAATAGTATTGCGGTATAATTCACAGTAATGCATTTGAAGATACATATGAAAAAAAATGCAGATCTTATGTACGTACACTAAAAATTAAAGATATAAGAAGTATGGGAGAATATAAGAGGAAAGCATAACAATATCCTGATAACCAGCCAGAGATGCACTCCTGTACGAATGGATGTTGTTTTTATAAAAAAAAGTGTTATCATCTACAATAATGTATGTATGTATATATATTAACTCAAAATGTGTGAAATTGCCTCGTATTATACTCGATATTCAACAAATCTTTTAATTCTAACGATATTACCCTTCCTTGATCCTTTATTTTTGAATAAATTTGAAACGCTCACATCTTCTTCTTCACTGACATTTGAAATGTTTATAAGATTCTTAAAATTGTTAATGGAGGTTGCTTGTACTGTAGTAGGTGAGAGTTTATTAAACTCTCGGAGCATTGAAGGAAAAAAACTATGATAGTAGTTGTTTGATCTACAGAGTGGAGGGCTAAATATAAAGGTGCATGGCCATGTAGTATTTTGTACATTAAGAACAATTGATGATTTTTCCGACGAGTTTCTAATGGTTCCCACCCTAATTCCCTATAACGCAATTGATGTTATGTTCCTCTTCTCAGTCCTGTTATAATTCTTGCTGCTTTCAGTTGGGTAGATTCTAGTCAATTGTTTAATTGGGTTGTACATTATACAATTATTCCAAATTACATCAGCATATTCAAGTAAAGGTCTTATGAATGCAAAATAGATTTGTATAAGACTTTCTCTGCTAAGTTCATATTTCAAACAGCGTAGTATATTTATTCTAGTATATGCTTTTTCATAAATAGTTTGTATATGGGATTCCCAGGTACCATTTTCATTAAGAGTAACACCTAAGTGTTTATGAGTGGATTCATTAACAAGAGGCCCAGAGGGCCTGTATCGCTCACCTGAATATGTTTAAAATAATTGGTATGAAGATACCACTCCATGGTAGGTGCTGTAAGTACATATGAAACTTCAGAAAGGGGGGGGGGGGGGGGGGTCATACCCACCAATTATACAAAATTGAGTCTCCTTGACCCAAGGATGCTCCAGACTAAATAAGGCAAAAATCGCTTAATCCCGATGGTCGGAGAAGGATTTTAAAGATTTTACCTCTATTTCTCCTATTGGGCCCCGCCCTTCTGTCCCCTGGGAGACCACACACACTGCTTAAACAAAATTTGTGCCCCTTTACCAAAGGATGCTCCACACCAATTATGGACCAAATCCTTTCATTCCAACAGAAGAAGAAGGATTTTAAAAATTTGTTATATTTTCCCTGTTGGACCCCGCCCCTCAGCCCCCAGTGGGACCAGACCCACCGTGCATACAATTCGCCCATGAATGCTTCTGACCAAATATAAACCAAATCCTTTCATTCCTACAGAAGAAGGATTTTAAAGAATATTTTGCTACGTTTACCCTATTGGGCCCCGCCCCTCAGGCCCCTAGGGGGCCAGACCCACGGTTTATACAAAATTGGTTCCCCTTCACCCAAGAATGCTTCAGACCAAATATGGACCAAATCATTTCATTTCTACAGAATTAGAAGGATTTTAAAGAATTTGCTGTTTCCCCTATTTGGCCCCGCCCCTCAGGCCCCTGGGGTGCCAGACCCACGGTTTATACAAAATTGGTTCCCCTTCACCCAAGGATGCTTCAGACCATATATGGAACAAAGCCTTTTATTCCTAAAGAAGAAGAAGGATTTTAAAGAATTTGCTATGTTTCCCCTATTAGGCCCCGCCCCTCAGGCCCCTGGGGTGCCAGACCCATGGTTAATAAAAAAAATGTTCCCCCTTTACCCAAGGATGCTTCAGACCAAATATGGAACAAATCCTTTCATTCCTACAGAAGAAGAAGGATTTTAAAGAATTTGCTATATTTCCCCTATTTGTTCCCTTTCCCACAAGGATGGTTCTGACCAAATTTGGTCAAAATCTGCTCAGTCGTTCATGACTAGTAGCGTTTTAAAGGAAAAGTTGACGGACGGACGACGGACGGACGACGGACGGACGGACGACGGACGCTGCGGTATGGCATAAGCTCACCATGGTCCTTCGGACCAGGTGAGCTAAAAATTACATCATTTTGAAATTAAATTGGTGGTATAGCAATTTCATTTTTTCCTGGAGAATAATACAGATTTTGTTTTTGTTTGATAGAAATTAATATCCCATAGGTTGTGCAGACTGATCAGGATTGTTATCAACAACTACATATAGAGAGGTGTCATAAACAAAGAGTTTTGCTTTACTTGAAACAAGATCAGTAATGCAATTTATATATAATATAAATAACTGACCCAGAACTGATCCCTTGGGGACTCCTGCATTAACAGTTAAGTTTGGGGAATAAAAACCTTCAGTACTTACTCGTTGATTCCTATCAGAAAAGTCATTATGGATCCAAGATAATAATATACTTTTGATTCCATAAACTATTATTTTTTTAACAAGACCTGTCAAAGGCCTTCCTTATATCACAAAATACAAACCTAACTTCTGTACCTGTGTCTATTGTTTTTGTTTTTTTTCAAGATAAATAAATAAAAGTTGGTTTACAGTGGTGTCACCTGGTCTAAAGTCGGACTGATTGTTCGATAAAATGTTATTAGATATAAGATAGTTGTATAGGTATTTAAATAAAATAAAATAAAATCTTTTCAATTAGTTTACAAATACAAGAGGTAATAGAAATTGGTCTATAGTTAGCAGGAATACTCCTAGAGCCACTACCTTTGAAAATAGCATTAACATTAGCGATTTTCCAGGAATTTGGCAGAAAACTAAAGTCTAGAGTTTTGTTAAATAATAGTTTAAGTGGCAGAATAAGAGATGGTACTAACTTTTTAATAACTTTAAGAACTAAGCCATCAAGTACAGATGGGGTTTATTTCATTCATGTTTTTAACTGATCTTTGACATCCTGACCAGTTATTTGAATATTTGATATGGAGTAAGGAAGTTCCACAATTACATCATCAGGAAGTTCAAGGTTGTTAGATGAAGACGAGATAGAAGTGAAGTATTTATTTAGACAGCCAGCTTTTTCACTCGGTTGAAAAACAATTTCACCATTTGATTCAAGGGAGGGAATAGTGGATGACTTCTATTAAATTTTAAAACGGTTTTTGCTATTTTCCACCATTTATCAGGGGGTATATTTTTATCATCAAGAGAATTTTGAAGTTAAACAATGAAATTAGATTTTGCTTCTCGAATAAGGTTGATTAATTCATTCCTAATTGTTCTAAAGCGCGTCCAGTGATCAGGGTTATTGGTTACTTTTGCCTTTTTATGAATTCTTTTTTCTTTGCCTCATTTTAGTTCTGATGTTATGGTTCATCCAAGATTTATCATTTGGTCTCACTGTCATAACTTTACATGATGTATGTCTTTCATTCTGCTCAGTGATTGCATTATTTATGATGATACTAAATTCATTCGAATTGAAGTGGTTAGCTAGTTGTTGCCAATCCATATTTAGTAGACATTCAATCATTTGGTTAAAATCAGCAGCGTCATATTGCCAGATTTTCTTTTTATAAGAGTTTTACTTAAATACACAATATGATATACTAATATGTACTGGAGAATGATCACTACAAAATGGATCGCCTACTTGTGTACCTCTTCTAATATTTCTATTGTTTGTAAATACAAAGTCGATGCAACTAGATCTAGAGCTTTCTGGTGTAATACGTGTGGGTTCATTTATTAGATTGCATAAGTTAAATTTAGAAAGAAATCTTGATAGGTGGGAAGATGGTTGAAGAGAAAGATTAACACTAATGTTCCCTACTAATAAAATATCTAAAGATGCTTTTTCAAGTATGCTATCAAGGTTCGTCCAAAATTCAACATAAGAATCAGGAGGCCTGTATAGACAGCCTAATAAAAATGTACAATGTATGTTTGTTGATAGTTACCTCCAACCATAGTAGCTCAATATCATCTATTTCAAGATCATGTCTCCTTTTGGTTAAAATAGAATCTTTATAATAAACCAGTACACCACCTCCCTGTCTATTAAGTCTGTCTTTTCTATGAGGATTAATGATGAGACTGTTGAGATCCCTGACATTGAGCGGACACTGCGCTTACCTGCCTAATAGAGGGTAAACATTGTTTTACTACAGGTATATTACAGCGAGTCTGGTCGTGTGTTCTTTATATTATTGATTTTTGTCGTATTTGATAATTTGCTCATTGTTAAAATAATGTGAACAATAAGGCATCCAGCTACCACATCTCTCTGTGATGTCACTGTTAAAAGGCCCACCAGTGGCTAACCTATCTTAGCTGTTGACGGAGTCGTAAGGAAGTCTCCTAATCCAATTACCTGTACTTTGTTTTGACTTAATGACATCGTTACAACAGGCACAATGCAGGGTAATGGGCGGCTACCTTGCCATACCCGACACCTTGGAAGAGAATAACGTACTGAAGGAATTGTCACGCACCGAGCGAGTACGAATTAGTCCAGATTTGGCTCACATACCGCGTACGTATATAAAGACGAAATGCTGGAAATGTATCCTTGTTTACTCACAATTCCCTTTTGGATATTCTAGTTATTCACTAGAGGAAATTATGTGATTTTTAAAATTATTTTGCTGATTATTTTATTTTAAATAGCATTCAAACATGAAATTTGATCTGATGGTAGGCTTGGCCTTATCTATGTAAGTCTTTCAAAATTGTTAACGACTATTATTTTATTTACCAATGACAAATACAACATACAAAGATTTCACATACTTAATGTAAACATGTATATTCATGAATGATTTGTGGAAGGACCTTTATGTACAATGCCATGTATGAAACATTCATGCTGCATGTTAAAACCGAATTATTTACCACAGATTTCGCCAGATGGATTGGACTACACACTGTCGATGGTGTCAATATCAAAAAGATAATCACTAACGAAATACCAACTTTCACCAACTTTGTTCCGCCAGAACCAAGTACAGATTTAACTGTAGACATGTGCGTCAAGTTGGACGATGACACAGATTTCACCTGGGCAGTAAAACAGTGTTTTCGAACGTTCTTCTACATATGTGAGCGCAGCCTGGTAAGTATCATCCCAGCAATCCCTGATATCAATATTACACAGTAGTATTCGGTTTATTTCAACGTGAAATGGGATATTTAGATATAGGGTTATTTCCAGGCAGTTAATTTCACTAAAATGTAAATCAATTATTAATATATATATAGGGTTATATTATGACAGTTATTTTCACGGTAGAGTAAATAAATTAGATACATATATATAGTAACATCGCTGCAGATATTATCACGGTAGAATTAATAAATTATATATAAAGGTTATTTCGCGGCAGTTATTTTCACGGTAAGTTAGAAGAATTCTTTATATACAGGGTTATTTCGCGCTAGTTATTTTCACGGTAAGGCAAATAAATTTCATATATATGTATCTGCACCAATTTCATACATCATTAACAGTCTTGTTACGCTACAAACCTTACACCTGATCATCTACGCACTTCGGGAGTAATTGTGTTTTTTTTCATATGAACACGAATATAACGTCTCGCAAAAGAACAAACTGTAGACAGAGACAATATAAAGGTGTTTGGGGCCTATTTCGGGCCTAAATTGTATTCTTTATTTTCGCTGTCTTGACTGGCGCAATACCATTGTATTTCATGCAAAAAATAAATACACAAGCGTCACTAACAAAAGGTTTATGGGGGTTCGAAGTAACTTACCCATTTGGAGCCATCAACCCCTAACGTTTTCACTAGTTATTTGCTTGAACAGCAGTAAATATAGAGCAATTATCGGTTTTCAAAGAATTGGAAAAAAACATGAAATCGGTCCTGTCAGATGAAAGATCTATAGAATAAATAATATTTGACATTTGACAACAGAGAGTTGATAATATCATTACAATGTAACGGATCCCCGAACCACTGCCAACAACTGTAACTACGCATTGTTACAATGTAATGGATCCCCGAACCACTGCCACCAACTGTAACTACGTATTGTTACAATGTAACGGTTCCCCGAACCACTGCCAATAACTGTAACTACGCATTGTTACAATGTAACGGATCCCGGAACCACTGCCAACAACTGTAACTAAGCATTACCACAATGTAACGGATCCCCGAACGACTGCCAACAACTGTAACTACTATTGTTACAATGTAACGGATCCCCGAACCACTGCCAACAACTGTAACTACGCATTGTTACAATGTAACGGATACCCGAACCACTGCCAACAACTGTAACTACGCATTGTTACAATGGAACGGATCCCCGAACCACTGCCAACAACTGTAACTACGCATTGTTAAAATGTAACGGATCCCCAAAGCACTGCAAACAACTGTAACTACGTATTGTTATAATGTAACGGATCCCCAAACTACTGCAAACAACTGTAACTACGCATTGTTACAATGTAACGGATCCCCGAACCACTGCCAACAACTGTAACTACGCATTGTTAAAATGTAACGGATCCCCGAAGCACTGCAAGCAACTGTAACTACGTATTGTTATAATGTAACGGATCCCCAAACTCCTGCAAACAACTGTAACTACGCATTGTTACAATGTAACGGGTGCCCGAACCACTGCCAACAACTGTAACTACACATTGTTAAAATGTAACGGATCCCCGAAGCACTGCAAACAACTGTAACTACGTATTGTTATAATGTAACGGATCCCCAAACCACTGCAAACAACTGTAACTGCGCATTGTTACAATGTAACGGATCCCCGAACCACTGCCAACAACTTTAACTACGCATTGTTATAATGTAACGGATCCCCGAACCCTGTCAACAACTGTAACTACGCATTGTTACAATGTAACGGATCCCCAGACCACTGCCAACAACTTTAACTACGCATTGTTACAATATAACGGTTCCCCGAACCACTGCCAACAACTGTAACTACGCATTGTTACAATGTAACGGATCCCCAAACCACCGCCAACAACTGTAACTACGTATTGTTACAATGTAACGGATCCCTGAACCACTGTCAACAACTGTAACTACGCATTGTTACAATGTAACGGATCCCCGAACCACTGCCAACAACTGTAACTACGCATTGTTAAAATGTAACGGATCCCCAAACCACCGCCAACAACTGTAACTACGTATTGTTACAATGTAACGGATCCCTGAACCACCGTCAACAACTGTAACTACGCATTGTTACAATGTAATGGATCCCCGAACCCCTTCCAACAACTGTAACTACGCATTGTTACAATGTAACGGATCCCCGTACCACTGCTAACAACTGTAACTACGCATTGTTATAATGTAACAGATCCACAAACCACTGCCAACAACTGTAACAACGCACTGTTATAATGTAACGGATCCCCGAACCACTGCCAACAACTGTAACTACGCATTGTTATAATGAAACGGATCCCCGAACCATTGCCAACAACTGTAACTACGCCTTGTTACAATGTAACGGATCCTCAACCACTGCCAACAACTTTAACAACGCACTGTTATAATGTAACGAATCCCCGAACCACTGCCAACAACTATAACTACGCATTGTTACAATGTAATGGATCCCGGATCCACTGCCGACAACTGTAACTGCGCTTTGTTACAATGTAACGGATCCTCAACCACTGCCAACAACTTTAACTACGCATTGTTACAAGGTAACGGATCCCCGAACTACTGCCAACAACTGTAACTACGCATTGTTATAATGTAACAGATTCCTGAACCACTGCCAACAACTGTAACTACGCATTAGTACAATGTAACGGATCCCCGAACGACTGCCGAAAACTGTAATTACGTATTGTTACAAAAAAATGTACAATGTAACGGATCCCCGAACCATTGCCAACAACTGTAACTACGCATTGTTACAATGTAACGGATCCTCGAACCACTGCCAACAACTGTAACCACGCATTGTTACAATGTAATGGATCCACAAACCACTGCCAACAACTGTAACTACGCATTGTTACAATGTAACGGATCCCCGAACCACTGCCAACAACTGAAACTACGCATTGTTATAATGTAACGGATTCCCCAACCACTGCCAACAACTGTAACTACGCATTGTTACAATGTAACGGATCCCCGAACCACTGCCAACAACTGTAACTACGCATTGTTATAATGTAACGGATCCCCGAACCACTGCCAACAACTTTAACTACGTATTGTTACAATGTAACGGATCCCCGAACCACCGCCAACAACTGTAACTACGCATTGTTGCAATGTAACGGATCCCCGAACCACTGTCAACGACTGTAACGTAACTACTATTGTTACAATGAAACGGATCCCTGAACCACTGCCAACAACTGTAACTACGCATTAGTACAATGTAACGGATCCCCTAACGACTGCAAACAACTGTAACTACTATTGTTACAATGAAACGGATCCCTGAACCACTGCCAACAACTGTAACTACGCATTTTTACAATATAACGGATCCCTGAACCACTGCCAACAACTATAACTACGCATTGTTACAATGTAACGGATCCACGAACCACTGCCAACAACTTTAACTACGCATTGTTACAAAATAACGGATCCCCGAAGTACTTTCAACAACTGTAACTACGCATTGTTACAATGTAACGGATCCCCGAACCACTGCCAACAACTGTAACTACGTATTGTTACAATGTAATGGATCCCCGAACCACTTCCAACAACTGTAACTACGCATGGTTACAATGTAACGGATCCCCGTACCACTGCTAACAACTGCAACTACGCATTGTTATAATGTAAAGGATCCACAAACCACTGCCAACAACTGTAACAACGCACTGTTACAATGTAACGGATCCCCGAACCACTGCCAACAACTGTAACTACGCATTGTTATAATGTAACAGATTCCTGAACCACTGTCAACAACTGTAACTACGCATTGTTACAATGTAACGGAACCCCGAACCACTACCAAAAACTGCGACTACGCATTGTTATAATGTAACGGATCCCCGAACCACTGCCAACAACTATAACTACGCATTGTGACAATGTAATGGATCCCGGATCCACTGCCAACAAATGTAACTGCGCTTTGTTACAATGTAACGGATTCTCAACCACTGCCAACAACTTTAACTACGCATTGTTACAAGGTAACGGATCCCCGAACCACTGCCAACAACTGTCACTACGCATTGTTATAATGTAACGGATCCGCAAACCACTGCCAACAACTGTATCTACGCACTGTTACAATGTAACCCCGAACCACTGCCAACAACTGTAACTACGCATTAGTACAATGTAACGGATCCCCGAACCACTGCCAACCACTGTAACTACGCATTGTTACAATGTAATGGATGCCCGAACCACTGCCAACATCTGTATCTACGTATTGTTACAATGTAACGGATCCCCGAACCACTGTCAACGTCTGTAACTACGCATTGTTATAATGTAACGGATCCCCGAACCACTGTCAACGTCTGTAACTACGCATTGTTATAATGTAACGGATCTACAAACCACTGCCAACAACTGTATCTACGCATTGTTACAATGTAACGGATCCCCGAAGCACTGCAAACAACTGTAACTACGCATTGTTACAATGTAACGGATCCACAAACAACTGCCAACAACTGTAACAACGCACTGTTACAATGTAACGGATCCCCGAACCACTGCCTACAACTGTAACTACGCATTGTTACAATGTAATGGATCCCCGAACCACTGCTAACAACTGTAACTACGCATTGTTATAATGTAACAGATTCCTGAACCACTGTCAACAACTGTAACTATGCATTGTAACAATGAAACGGATCCCTGAACCACTGCCAACAACAGTAACGACGCATTGTTACAATGTAATGGATCCCCGAACCACTGCTAACAACTGTAACTACGCATTGTTATAATGTAACGGATCCCCGAACCACTGTCAACGTCTGTAACTACGCATTGTTATAATGTAACGGATCTACAAACCACTGCCAACAACTGTATCTACGCACTGTTACAATGTAACGGATCCCCGAACCACTGTCAACGACTGTAACTACGCATTGTTATAATGTAACGGATCCACAAACCACTGCCAACAACTGTAACAACGCACTGTTACAATGTAACGGATCCCCGAACCACTGCCTACAACTGTAACTACGCATTGTTACAATGTAACGGATCCCCGAACTACTACCAACAACTGTACCTACGCATTGTTACAAGGTAACGGATCCCCGAACCACTGCCAACAACTCTGACTACGCATTGTTATAATGTAACGGATCCCCGAACCACTGTCAACGTCTGTAACTACGCATTGTTATAATGTAACGGATCCCCGAACCACTGTCAACGTCTGTAACTACGCATTGTTATAATGTAACGGATCCCCGAACCACTGTCAACGACTGTAACTACGCATTGTTATAATGTAACGGATCCCCGAACCCTGTCAACAACTGGAACTACGCATTGTTACAATGTAACGGATCCCCGAACTACTACCAACAACTGTAACTACGAATTGTTACAAGGTAACGGATCCCCGAACCACTACCAACAACTGTGACTACGCATTGTTATAATGTAACGGATCCCAAAACAACTGCCAACAACTATAACTACGCATTGTTACAATGTAACGGATCCCCGAACCACTGCCAACAACTGTAACTACGCATTGTTATAATGTAACAGATTCCTGAACCACTGTCAGCAACTGTAACTACGCATTGTTACAAAGAAACGGATCCCTGAACCACTGCCAACAACGGTAACTACGCATTGTTATAATGTAACAGATTCCTGAACCACTGTCAACAACTGCAACTACGCATTGTTACAAAGAAACGGATCCCTGAACCACTGCCAACAACTGTAACTCCGCATTGTTATAATGTAACAGATTCCTGAACCACTGTCAACAACTGTAACTACGCATTGTTACAAAGAAACGGATCCCTGAACCACTGCCAACAACTGTAACTACGCATTGTTACAATGTAACGGATCCCCGAACCACTGCCAACCACTGTAACTACGCATTGTTACAATGTTATGGATGCCCAAACCACTGCCAACAACTGTAACTACGTATTGTTACAATGTAACGGATTCCCGAACCACTGCCAAGTACTGTAACTACGGATTGTTATAATGTAACGGATCCCCGAACCACTGTCAACGACTGTAACTACGCATTGTTATAATGTAACGGATCCCCGAGCTACTGCCAACAACTGTAACTACGCATTGTTACAAGGTAACGGATCCCCGAACCACTGCAAACAACTGTAACTACGCATTGTTATAATGTAACGGATCCCCGAACCACTGTCAACGACTGTAACTACGCATTGTTATAATGTAACGGATCCACAAACCACTGCCAACAACTGTAACAACGCACTGTTAAAATGTAACGGATCCCCGAACCACTGCCAACAACTATAACTACGCATTGTTACAATGTAACGGATCCATGAACCACCGCCAACAACTGTAACTACGCATTGTTACAATGTAACGGATCCCTGAACCACTGTCAACAACTGTAACTACGCATTGTTACAATGAAAAGGATCCCTGAACCACTGCCAACAACTGTAACTACGCATTGTTACAATGAAAAGGATCCCTGAACCCCTGCCAACAACTGTAACTACGCATTGTTATAATGTAACGGATCTCCGAACCACTGCAAACAACTGTAACTACGCATTGTTATAATGTAACGGATCCACAAACCACTGCCAACAACTGTAACAACGCACTGTTAAAATGTAACGGATCCCCGAACCACTGCCAACGACTGTAACTACGCATTGTTATAATGTAACGGATCCCCGAACCACTGCCAACGACTGTAACTACGCATTGTTATAATGAAACGGATCTCCGAACCACTGCCAACAACTGTAACTACGCATTGTTATAATGTAATGGATCCCCGAACCACTGTCAACGACTGTAACTACGTATTGTTACAATGTAACGGATTCCCGAACCACTGACAACAACTGTAACTACGCATTGTTACAATGTAACAGATCCCCGAACCACTGCCAGCAACTGTAACTACGGATTGGAAACTATTTTCCTGGAATGACTACAGCTTTCGTAAATCATGTATGAAAAGAATACCTTATCCTGCCGGCTTTTCATGAAAGAAAATAATGAAGATGAAATAAATATAACATAATCAAGTTCAATGACAAAATTCTGAATTAAAAAAACAACGCGGCTAGATCGGGATTCGAACCCTGGTCCTCAGACTGTTATACTATCGCTCTAACCGACTGAGCTACCTGGTCAACGCAAGTGTCCTGGCCCAAGTGTGCTATAGTTATAACCAAAACGAAATGAAAAGGAGGTTACTGTATGCACGACAATCCCCAGCTCAGTGCTTAAAATATGTAGACTTGTTGTTGAGTACATCAACTGCATATAAATATCAAATTATCGTTCATTTTATTATATCTTTTCAACAGTGATGTTAAATTAGCAAACAACCAAATAAGAACATCCTTTAATTGAGAGTCAAACTTGTCTTATTTTGAAGCTATGCTTTATGTCGAATGAGGAGCTGGGGGAAAGGGCTTCAACTAATTCATTTTTTTATTTCTATTTCAGAAACACCGATTTAAGTATAACATCTAGGGAGAAATTCCAACACAGCTGAGAACATCAGTCAGTTTTCGAAACATCAATAAAAGAAAATATGAATAAAGTTTGTATTTTGCTGTTTCACCAAAACTGAACAAAGAATATCACACATACCAGCATCAATGGGGTATCCGTGAATGTCAACAGTTGAATAATAAAAAAACGAAGAATTAAATATGGACAGTTTTGAACTTTCTTTCCGGATAAACAAACAGCTGGATGTATATTTTCAAATATTTTTCAAAAGGATTCTTAGAAACACCTTTTTAATAGATACAGTATGTCATCAATGAATTACACTGCATCATACATAACTAGAACATCTATAACGAATATCTTTGGTCAGCTATTTTGGATTATTAATAAATAGCCGTTCGCTTGCCCTCGTTTCACTAAAGAATTCAGAACTGTTTTTGGAAACCGAATTAGAAGTATCTACCATTATCTACTGTATCAAAGCTGTCAATTACGTACATCCAATTATGATAATAACGACACATTATTGACTATCGACGCGTATGATAATGCACCGTATGAATATCATAGTTTACTTATGTGGAAAACAGGAAAGTAGACCGCATGGAATGCTAAAACATTGCATCGGTGTTATAAATAAGTAGACAGGCGTTGAATTCATTACGTGATTTATTCATTGCAATAAATATAATGTCAATACAGATAAACATATTATGTCAACCTTTATCTATCATTAGATATAAACATTACATATAACATACAAGATATGCACTAGATTTCCAAAACATGTCAACGTGCATTGCCAAGGTAATGGTACTAGAAAGGGTCTGAAAAGGGTTAAAGTGAACAATTTAAGGCCAAAAATAGAATGTTTCGTGTGTCTGATAAAGTACGATATTTTGTATACACACACACATTATAACCCAAACTTTGTATTGGACGCTCAAGATCGATGTTTTTTCCTCCAAGTTTGCTCCAAGTAAAGCGTCAATCATTTCTAAATGTTCTCAATGACTGGCGTTAAAGTAAATATTTGCAATTCTTGAACGCATTGTTTAACCTTCGCTTTTTTACAGTGTTCTTCGACTTTTGGTAAGGTGTCTTGTCGTTTTCTATTCAGACATGGTGTTTCTTATGAGTATTGAGGCTGTGGTATATTGTTTTGTGTTTACCTTTGCTATACAGAACTTTTCAATTGTACATTTTGTTGCTTATGTATTAGTCTTCAATCATTTCTAGTTTTGCTTTTATCTAAAATTGATGCATTATAAAAGTCTATAGCAGCAGTCTTGTTTACCTGCAGTGTAGTATACATGTAGGTAACAGGTAGATTATAAACTCCGCAGCAGTTTGGTTTACCTGCAGTGTGGTATACATGTAGGTAACAGGTAGATTGTAGACAACACAACAGCATTTGTTCCATTCAAGCATAACATTCCAAACGGTTTTACTAAATCGGATTGCTAATGAAATAAATATTAACATACTTGTGTTCTAAGCACAAAGACTTCCATGGCCTGCATTAACATCCTAACCATGGATGTCAAATACACAAGCAAAGCCCCTTACCAAAAAAGAAAGATTTTGTCACAGATAAATTACTGTGAAAGATGTTTTGTAACAACGAATAAGACAGTCACAATTGCTCATTTTCAAGTCCAATTCCTTCACATTCAATTATAGTTGAGGACTTTGATAATTCTTTCACATCAAACTTCGCCTGAAATTAACAAACAAAATAAACATGAAATATTAAACTAGTATCCGAAAAATACTTGTGTCGTCTACTCTACAATAGTATATACTTGTAATTATAAAACAGTTCACAGTATACAGTGATAGAATGGGTATGAGGGGAAAAGCATATGTATGGTCCCCCGAGGTGAAAAACTATTTCCCGAGGCGACGAAGCCGTCGAGGGGAATAGTTTTTCACCAAGGGTGACCATAAATTTGCTATTTCCCGAATTACCCATTCTATAACTGTTTTATTATAACGAAACAAATTATTCAACCAGTAAAGGCAATTTAACAAATGAATTTATTTATTAATTTCCTTTTACAATTTCAAAGACTGAAAGAGTAAAAAATACAATTGGAAGTAGATGATATCTTCATTTCCAGCATTCAAGAAGTGTTTTTATAGACTGAATCTCATAATCATCATTGTTTTCCTACCACATCTGATCTAGTCCTATCCACTTTTTTTTAAAAAGAGCTTGCATGACCCTACTCGTTGACGCTTCCGGCATTCCGTTATGTTAGGTAAGTTTGAAGTGAATTCACTGCAGTCTTTATAACAGCTTTTGTATTTAGGTTACGTTTAGCGTCCAAAATCTGCTGTAACTCCTCTTTACAACAACAAAACGGCCTTCATTGTTGGCCATTTTCACTGTTGTCATTTGGTTCTGAAAATGTGACGTCACGAGCGTCACGGAGAAGGCCACGCCTACCAATGTTTTCATTGGTTGAAATCGTATAAGCTCCGCCTACCAATGTTTTCATTAGTTGAAATCTTATAACCTCCACCTACAATATTCATGAGGGAGTAGTCCTCTTTCTGGCAGGGAGTAGTCCCTTTTTGCAGGGAGTAGTCCTGATTTGGGGAGGGAGTAGCTCTCAGATGGAGAGATTTTAGTATTTTAAGGGAAATTGCCGATTTTATCGTATTGTATTTATATTGGGAAAAAAATAGAGGTATACTAATGTCGCGTGTGGCGTTTAATATGGTGTAGATTTACATCAGAACCTTGTTACTTCGACTTCAAATAAACTGCGTTTCCTCTAAACACCAACAGATTAATCATTCCTGACATCTATATTACTTCTAAGCGCTAAAATGTTTTTAGCTTGGACATTACAAGTTGAGTAAAGCATATTTCTCCCATAACCACAATTTTTCTCTTCTCTGGAAGCATTGGTTAAAAGGGGCAACGACTTGGTTGCATTTAGTGGTACCTACTAACAACCTGGACCGGACTGCATTGGTCCATCTTTTAATCACATCACAAATATTAAACCGGGATCTCTTTTTGTGCCATCCTATTTAAGTTTAACATTCCATGCCATCCTATTTCTCTAATTTTGAACCACGTCTCTGGTTTATAAAAAAGTGACGGTTGTAGGCATACAGCTTCTGTACTATCTATGAAAATTGCTCCATAAACTTCCATTCCAAACATAAAAGTGTGAACTTGATTACAGATAAATGCAGCCATCATAACATTTAGAAAAATATATAGCTGAATAAAAAAAAAAAGAAGATGGAAGTGAAAATTCCCCATCGGCCGTGTACTATGTAAAACTAGCTACTTTACTCGACAATTATTCATTAATAGTAATGCTGAATATGACCCAGATACTCTGAAAAACGAACTCATCCTAAATTGATATTTGTATATCACTTGATCCAAAAACACAAACAAATGAAGTAACCAAGTCATTTACTATGTATATGGCGGTATCTTGGTGTTGTATGGTACTTACAGAGGGTTAGACATTATGTACTTACAGACGTTAGAAGTGTGACTATGCGTATAGCAGTTTTTGTGTGTAGTATGGTATTTACAGAAGATTACACATTATGTACTTATATAGGTTAGAAGTTTGGTTATGTGTATAGCAGTTTCTGTGTGTAGTATGGTATTTACAGAGGATTAGACATTATGTACTTACAGACGTTAGAAGTTTGGCTATGTGTATAGCAGTTTCTGTGTTGAGTATGGTACTTACACAGGGTTAGACATTATGTACTTACAGACGTTAGAAGTTTGGCTATGTGTATATCAGTTTCTGGGTGTAGTATAGTACTTACAGAGGGTTAGACATTGTGTACTTACATAGGTTAGAAGTTTGGTTATGTGTAAAGCAGTTTCTGTGTGTAGTATGGTATTTACATAGGTTAGACATTATATACTTATATAGGTTAGAAGTTTGGTTATATGTATAGCAGTTTCTGTGTGTAGTATGGTATTTACAGAGGGTTAGACATTATGTACTTACAGACGTTAGAAGTTTGGTTATGTGTATAGCAGTTTCTGTGTGTAGTATGGTACTTACATAGGGTTAGACATTATGTACTTACAGACGTTAGAAAGTTTGGTTATATGCATGGCAGTTTCTGTGTGTAGTATGGTACTTACACAGGGTTAGATATTGTGTACTTACAGACGTTAGAATTTTGGTTATATGCATGGCAGTGTATGTGTGTAGAATGGTACTTACAGATGGTAAGACGTTATGTACTTACAGACGTTAGAGGTTTGGTTATGTGTATAGCAGTTTCCTTGAGTATTATGGTACTTACAGAGGGTTAGACATTGTGTACTTACAGACGTTAGAAGTTTGGTTATGTGTAAAGCAGTTTCTGTGTGTAGTATGGTATTTACATAGGGTTAGACATTATATACTTATATAAGTTAGAAGTTTGGTTATGTGTATAGCAGTTTCTGTGTCTAGTATGGTATTTACAGAGGGTTAGACATTATGTATTGACAGACGTTAGAAGTTTGGTTATGTGTATAGAAGTTTCTGTGTTGAGTATGGTACTTACACATGGTTAGACATTATGTACTTACAGCCGTTAGAAGTTTGGCTATGTGTATAGCAGTTTCTGTGTTGAGTATGATACTTACACAGGGTTAGACATTATGTACTTACAGACGTTAGAAGTTTGGTTATGTGTATAGAAGTTTCTGTGTTGAGTATGGTACTTACACATGGTTAGACATTATGTACTTACAGCCGTTAGAAGTTTGGCTATGTGTATAGCAGTTTCTGTGTGTAGAGACAGGGATCCGCATCTTATCTGGGACTTTCCTTTAGCCAGAGCCATCAGCAGAATTAACTGAAAAGGTACAAATTAACAAATAAAAAACAGATTTAGCCTCGGGACCATGGGTGCCCACCTTTCGTCCGCGCTGATTAGTTCATGCTCGTACTTGTGTAAAGCAAGTTTACCATTCCATGCAAAGCTTAGTGAGGAATTCATATACAAATATTTGCTAATTAAGTAACTTGGACTTTATATCTTTCGTCTACGCAACTCTGACATTAGACCTTAGGTCCTGAGGACCCTTTACACGTCCTGGTCGGAAATTGCACTTAATGAACATGTTTACATACATGATTCTGAAAAGGAAGTGTTTCAAGAATCAACTTTAATACGTGATTTTGACGTTTAAATTGTATGGTTTGACCACATTACATTGACCAATAGTTACATATCCCTAAATGTTTTGACCGTTCTTTGATCAACAATCATAGTTATTCCAAGTATTGGGATTTATATACATTGTAATTAGTTAGTATCGCGCTTTATCATAGATGTCATTAATGTTTTAAGTTTTGACCTGAACACATGCATTCATTTCCCTAAATGTATCGACCACTGCTATGATCAACAGATACATATCCCTAAATGTTTTGACCACTATTGTGATCAACAGATACATATCTCTAAATTGTTCAACCACTACTGACATCAACAGTTACAATGATACACACCAACTGTCACTACATTTCATTAAAACTAGCATTGACGTCTTATTTGCCGAATTTCTAGAAATCTCTTTACATGTGAACATCAGTACAAAGGGCCCATTTTGTTATGAAAAGAAAGATATAATTCCACATAACTGATGATCTGGAAAGATAACAATGAAACTTGTTCAATGTAGGTGTGCCCCATTCTATACTAAAGGGTATTACAGAGTCTATTGTACATTTAATTAGGTCACCTGAGACAAAGTCTGAAGTACCCTATTGCGATCGCCTTTTGTCCGGCGTCGTGCGTCCATAAACAATTTACAATTTCTACTTCTTCTCCAAAAACCCTGAACTAATTTCAATGAAAGTTTGTATAAACCTTCCATGGCCAAAGGTCAACAAAAATTGTGAACTATATGGTCCCCCGCCTCAAGGGGCCTGAGGGGCGGGGCAAAAAAGGGTCAAATTGACTAAAATTTCAAAAATCTTCTTCTCAAGATCCAGATATGGTAGAATTAAATACTCTTCATAGATGGAAGGGTCTTATGATGCTTTACCAAAATTGAGAATTTCACGACCCTTGGGTCTCACGTTTCACCCTGGGGAGGGGGTAAATTTTATTATAGTTTATATAGGGAAATCACATTTTGGACCAACATTTGTTTAATTTCCATTGGAAGTAATTCAATTTGGGTAAGCATTATCAGTATTTAAAGTCTAATATGAAATATTAGGCAGGTTTGCACAGCATAGAAGGGGTCTGCCTTTCATCTGCTTTTCATCTCACTATAAGTAAACATCTGAGCAGATGTAGTATAGATTGTATATATGGTCCATCGGTTCCCTATCAACTTACATATCAGTTCACAGGACCATCTGGGTGCTAGCCGATCTTATCACATGACCTCTCCCCTATTAGCAGGTCATGATCACCGGTCATAGAAAGGACATGCATCCAACCAATTAGTAATGCAGGGGTCAAGATAATTCTTATCTCAAGCTCAGCCAGCCGGGCATTTTGACCTCCCATAACACCACTGTCCTGGCAGCAACACAGCAAACAAAGGGTCTCCTCCCCCTACCTAATTATTCTTATCTCAAGCCCAGCCAGCTGGGCATTCTGAACTTCCATAACCTCGCTGTCCTGACAGCAACACAGTAAACAGAGGGTCTCCCCTCTTTGCCTAATTTACATGTACTATATTGGGTATTGGTTCCTTACTGATAAGGGAAAGAGTATGAGATCCAATCCTAGGACCTAGCGTGGTCACATGACAAGTGCTCTTTGTTCTAACAGTTCTAGCCAACTGCCCAGTTGTTTTCTGATTGTCAAGCTATACAGTCATACTACAAAAACACTGTGTCTTTGCTGGCCTCCAAGAGACTTATACATTTCTACCATTGAAAAAGGCTGCCTAAGCCTACTACATTACCACAAACAATAGGATTACATCGTTCTAGTGTCTAATCCTAGTTATGTCCGGTCGCGGGCGTGGTCAGCCCCGGGGGCGTAAACGAAGAGCAAACGACAACACCACAGTAACGAGTGACAGTGACTTTGGGACTCATACATCTATGAATTACGTGACAGCAGAACAGGCATGGGATGTTCATAAACCTGAAAACTGGACTGTCATTGAACTTCGGTCCAAGTTACTCGGACTGAGCATAACACCACCCAAGGGGTTTAGCAAGACAATGCTAATTCAGTTATACAAGGAGAATGTAGGAGCCACCATGACAGTGTTAACTGAATCAACTGAGACAATGGACGTTACATCACCATTAAATACCACTACAAATGTTGATGTTACTTCCACCAGCCAGGCTTGTTCATTGGAAACCTTACAAGCACTGCAGGACCATGTTGGGCGTCTGGAACAGTTGATCCTGCGTCAAAACAGGAACACAGTGGGTCCAGCTATGGCCGTGTCAGGTCATGCCCAATACTGACCTCACAGACACAGAACACTGGAGAAGCTGTAGTTCCATCAACCAGCCGACCAGATATTAGTCCAGATGGTGGAGTGGTAACACCTCCACACAGCCTCCTCCTACAGCAGACAGGTATATCATCAGAGTCTGTCCCTGCTGTAGAAATAGTACCATCTGCTGTGCGCCAACAGATTATCGAAGGTAAGGATGTGAACCTTGTCTTGTTATTATTACCTGCCTACGATAATGATAGCACTCGGTACAATCGGTTCACTGAAGTAGGAGGACAGATGTTTAAATTACAATCTGATCCAAGACTTTGCAAGTCACTAACATTTGGAGAGTTCGTCAAGGCCTTTTCTATATATCGTAACATCATGTGTGAACATTACCCGAATCGTCGCCAAGAGTTGGATGTATACGAACGTGATATTGTAGAACTGGCACTTTCATACCCTGGCCCTATTTTCTACGAATATCATAAGGCATTCGCCGCCAGGGCGTCAGCCCTCCTACATCAGCGAGGCATTAAGGTCAACTGGGCAATTAGGGACAATCAACTCTACACCACGATATGCTCAGGCTTTAAGTGCAACAGCTGCAAGTTGTGCAGCAACCTGAGCCACACTGAAGAGTTTTGCCCCCTCGTTCTGAACGGTGCAACAGTGCATCCTCAATTAAACGTTAACCACAAACCAAATAACAGGAAAGTAGAAAGTCAGACTGATAGGAAAGGACGGCCTCGTGTCATGCACCAAGGTAAAGAGGTCTGCAACAACTTTAACGACACAGATGGTTGTACCTGGGATAACTGCCCGTACCTCCATGTTGTAAAGAGCTCAGTAAAATCAGCGAAGACTACAAAAAACAAAGAATCCACAAAACAATGACTACAGGGAAACATTGATTTGGAAGTGTCTACTCCGATAAATATAGTGGCATTGGAATTAGAGTTAAAGAACCATCCTGACAAAAAATTTGTACAAACTTTGATTTCCGGGTTATCTAACGGTTTTGATACAGGTATCTCAACGTTACCAGATACATCATTAGTTTGTAAAAACTTGCGAAGTGCTGCTACTCAAGGGGACGTTGTGAATACTCTCATAGCAAGTGAACTTGACAAGAAATTCCTCATTGGCCCCTTTACAGAGCCACCTTTTTGATATTTACCGTATCAACCCTATAGGTATAGCGACGGCAAAGTATTCAGGTAAACAACGCTTAATTGTGGATCTTTCAGCACCTCATGATTCCGAGGACTATAGCATCAATGAACTGATTGAAAAAGAAGAATACTCCCTATCTTATATCAGTGTTGATGACGCCATTAAACAAATTCAACACACTGGCAGACACTCCAAGTTATGCAAACTGGACATTACAGACGCCTTCAAACTTCTACCTATGTCTCCAGAACTTTGGCCGTTTTATGGTATATGCTGGAACAATCAGTACTATTTCTATACTAAACTCACTTTCGGATGTCGTTCAAGTCCAAAGATCTTTGATCTACTATCAACTGCTATTTGCTGGATCTTATCTAATAACTATGCGATAGATTATATAATTCATTACCTGGATGACTTTCTGACAATCGAAGCACCACACCAAGTAGCTGAACGGACAATGGCTATTCTGTCTATGGTTTTTCTGAAACTCAATATAACAATTTCACCACACAAAACTATTGGACCGTGTGAAAGCTTAGAATTTCTAGGAATCATCCTGGATACTGATAAAATGGAAGCGCGTCTGCCATTAAATAAACAACAGCGGATCATTGAAACGATTAAATCATTCTGTGAACAAAAATCAGTTACCAAGCGTGAACTCTTGAGCCTCCTAGGCCACTTAAACTTTGCCAGTAAGGTTATCACACCAGGACGTTCTTTTATTTCATATCTTTTGACCCTAGCCGCCTCTATCAAGAAGTTACATCATCATGTACACTTCACTCAAGCATGCAGGCAGGACTTGTTCATGTGGTATTCCTTCATGGAGCAATGGAATGGACGTTCAGTCTTCCTTCAGGAGTTGGCACATGATATAGACCTCTACACAGCTGCGGCAGGAGGAACAGGCTTCGGTGCCTATTACCACAGGCGGTGGTTCCAGGGCCGCTGGCCACACAAATTATCTCTGGACAATTCGGAAATGTCAATAGCCTTCATGGAATTGTACCCAATTGTACT